ATTTTTATTATTTATAAACCATTTAACAAGCGTCAAACAAGTTAAATCATTAACTCAGTCATAGCACCTATTTACAGGCTACAAACATTACAGGAGATGCCTAACACATGTAAGAATCTACTGTAAGAATATCAGATTAACTGCATTTACCAATTAGCCATTAAAAATAGTACAACAATTATAGGAGCATATTTATTTATTTATTGCAGACCTAAAAATAGTGAGCACCAAATGAATTAATCTACTCTAACACACAGTACAGGTTACCAGGAGTCTAACAAAACAAGAATCATGATTTTAGGACTTCATTTCAAATTTAAACAGATTTTACAATGTTGAACCAATTTGATCCATCTTTAAATAAGACAAGAAGCTAATAGACACAAATGCTCTGGGAACCCCGAACTTTTTTTAAAAAAAATAATCTATAATCAGCCCTTTTACTATTCATGTCTCTCATACAAATTCGCATATAACCCCTGTACTTTTCTCCTTTTGCACCAAAGCTCCCTCCCTCTAAATCTCACGTACGAACAGAGCAACGCACGAACACCGGCAGAGCAGGTGATGGGTTCGGGCCGGCCGGCTTCGACCAGCGACTGCGGTCACCGATGGCCGGGGTGGAGCGACGTGGCTTCAAGGCAGCGGGCCGCGGCCACCGGTGCGTGCGCCGTGGCCTGGGATGGGCAGTGGCCGTGTTGCAGTGGCTGCGAGTTCGCTCAGCTCGGCCATGGTGGCGGCGGGGAAAACTGAAAGTGGCTAGCGATGAGGCACGGCTGATGCTCGATGTGGGTTTGCAGGCTAGCTAACTTCCATGTAAGGTTGCTTGCGCGAGGAATTGGATGGAGGTGCACTGGTTGGGGCGAATTTAAAAAGGGCGCCAAAGGCGAACACGCGGATCGTTCATGGCCATGCGGTTCAGGGGCTCGGCGAGACGCGCGCGGCTGGCTTTCAAGGCACGCTGATGGCGTCCACTTGTGCGTGCTTTAAAGGCAGACGACCTCAAGACGAAGCGAGGCAGGGGCGAGGCAGAGCGACGACCAGCGTCGGGTCGTCGATGGCGGACAAAACGCCACAGGGTATTTGATGACTTTGCGGGCGAGGGCGTAGAGAGCCAGGGAGGCGTGCTTAAGAGGGCAGAGTGCGGCATTGCGCCGGGTGGAAGCGACAACGAAGGGGGCCAACCTGCACTCGGCTCAGGCTTGCCTCGGTGGGACGCTCTTAATAATGGGTGTGACGGTTGGGAAGTGCGGCTACCAAAGCGGAGTCAGGCGCACGTGTAGGTGTCGCGGCATCGACCACGACTATGTGCAGACGCAGCGGGCGTGCCATGTGCGCGCGGCAGCTGCACTGGCAGTGACGAGGCGGACCAGCGCAGCTATCAGCACGTGTGCACGGCGACGAGGGCTCCTGGCAGCAGGGCAGCCGGCGCGTGCGACAGCGAGGCAGCGCGGCATGGCAACAGCGCGGACGCAGCAGTGCAGCGCAGACGGCCGCGCGCACTTGCGGACAAAGCGCGGCTCGGGAGTCCAGCAGATGGGTAGCTGTGGCCGGCTGGGCCAGGCGCGCAGCCGGCAGCCGCAGAGGTCGGCCAGCGGGGCAGCGGCCACGGCCACGGAGCGAGCCAGGCGCCAGTAGCGCACGCGCGCGCGGTGACCGCGGACTCAGGCCAAGCGACCGCAATCGGTGTCGTGCACACATTTTAAAGCGAATCAAAAGCCGCTAATCAACACAGTTGGAATTCAACCAATTCCACTAACCTAAAGCCAACACTACCAACTCCTTAGCGAAGCAATTGTCGTGACCAGAGATTAACCAGAGAGGGAGATAAAAGATTGCCAACATAGGCTAGTCATAGGAGCGCCGGTTCACGAACAGAGCGCCAACAACGTGGTTTACAGCGCGTTCTTACAAAATTCGGGCAATTTTTTGCGTGAGCATCATAACCCTAAGGTACCCATGACCTGCACCATGTTCTAGTATACACCTAGATGCAACCAATCGTGCAAAAACATGGATATATTGCTTAATTATTTTTGTTAGAATTTAGATGCCAATATAGCATCGTCTATTATCATTTCAGACTAATGAAATTCAAATGTTCAGTTAGAACTAACAACCTTTAGCACTTTTGCCATAATTTTTAAAGGGTCTAGACCTTGCCGGATTCAATTCATAATTGTACCATGACCTAGTCCATACTTCATACTAACTCGTAGGAGCAAGGTATTTGAGCACTATTTAACTATTTTGCTCAATATAATTCACCAAAATGGTACTTTAAATATAAATTCAAGTGTTTGCTGACTTAATGAAAAGAGCTTATCTTAACATCAAGTTAGATTTTAGAGCTCCCACAACACTAGTTAACATCTATTTTTTCAAAAGTTAATATTGCATTTCCATCTACTAAACTTGTACTTCAATTTTTATTTAAGTATTAAATACAAGCTATGTTATATTCTTGTTTATAGAAATTGCTTTTCATGCCAAACAATTAAAACTACATTTTCTATTTTCTTGTTAGGATTTTCATTAGCGCATTTAAGTAAACTAACTCACTATATTTATATATCTACCTCTCATGCCATAATCTCAGTGCTAAGCGAGCTCGTAACACCAGAGGTGTTACAATCCTAATCGACCTACAAACAGGAGGTGGACTACGAAGGACTCAATGAGGCTATATTGTCACCCTCGCGATCTACCACCTGTCCGAAATGCAGGATACATCCATGAGTAACCAAAGTCTTAAGCACCACACTTACACCACAATTACTACTTTACTCCCACTAGAACAGGAGTAAAGCACTCAAAAGGGTCACGAATCTGATAAACAATGTAAACAAATTACTTACTTAATCAGAAACAAGCTTAAGTAAAACTTGGATCCGCCAAGCTACAAGCCGTAGAGAGAGCACCGACAGGCCGGCACCACCTCCGAACTCTTCCCTCACTTTCTATATCACTATTTCTATTTACAAGACTAGATCTTAACTTGGAGGACTAATCTTCTCTTGATTGCTAGTTCTGATCCTGACGATAAGGTTATAAATTAGGGTTTCAGGATGGCTCTGCTGGGGGTACATGGTTGTATATATAGGGGATAGCGTCAATTCTGGACCCTCGGAATAAATCGACTTAAAAGGACGGCATAGATGCAATCTAGTAAGCAGTGGAGAACCGACATTCGAAGGGGAGCCTGACCAGGGGGGCCCACCGGTCGGCCGCCCTGTAGGTGGGGCCGGCTAGCCCCACCTGGCAGCCCCTTGGCCTCTGCCGTAGTGGGTTGCCCTCTGGTGTCTTCTGAAACCTTCTGGTGCTGGTTTCATCGCGGATAAGTATGATTAATTCTGATGTTTAGATCCTCGATGGTTTTCTGGATATATCCTGCTGAAAACACAGATTCACCAAAACTCGTGAAATTTGTCAGATTAAACCCGTATACCTATGTTTGATGATGGAATTAAATATAAATGTAGGATATGTTGACGGTTTATGATTGATGTTAGTGACAATCAACAACCATGTTCCCTTAACAAATAAACCGTGTATTTGGACAAAGATTTTTTTAAATAGTTTATCAAGAATGTTCCCTTAACAAATCATATCATTGTATACTAGCAATTTTTATTTAAAATTATATTAACACTCCATGATAATAAATTTATAAGTTGTTATTTTTAAGTTTAATAATTTTGACTAAAACATTTTGTAATTTTACGCACTCTACATATATCTTGATAATAAAAACTACTACCATATTTTTCGGTATAGCAAATTTAGCATCTCGAGTACTCTAATGCATGCTAAACCGCCATAGTAGGAAAAAGTTTAACCTAGGACCAATCTTTCTTTAATAAAATGAAAAAGTACAAATTAGAATAAAATATACAATAAGCACTAGATCGAGTTTCAAACACTTTGATACAAAAGTTGAAAAAACAAAGATTCATGATGTTACAAAACATGGCATAACAAATGATTTATATTACTTTAATCTTAGGTTTCAACTAAGGTGTAACAAGAGTTTATATTACTTCATCTTAGGTTTCAACTAAATCAAATCTAGAAGTTCTAAATAGAGGTCGACAATGGAGCCTCCATGGTAATCCTCGTCAGAAGCACTAGAAGAAAAAGATAATTCTCTAATAAAAATCACAAAAGTTGTGGCCATCAATTATGTAATCACAATTGATAATAATAGCAATGGGACATATTATGTTTTCTAGAAAATTACCCATTTGCATTTATGAATAACAAAATAAAATAACTCGTGAATATGCATCTAAACTACACCACTTATGTCGTTATGAAACATAATCTAAATTATACATTAACCTAAATTTGCATCAATTACTTACCTTCCATTATGATAGATAATCTATGTAATCCCTTAAATTTGCATCTAAATTGCCACTTCTTTCATTATTAATAATATACTTTACTATTTCTTAAAATCTATATCAATGTAATTTATGGTAGAACTTAATGCCTATTGAAAATATACTGAATACAAAGAGAGAGAAAAGACTATATATAGGGATGAAAAAAATATAGATCAATAAATGATAAGTTTATCAAATATAAATTATCTAGTATCTACATGTCTATTATGTTACAAAATAACTAGGGTGAAAGAAACATGGAAATTATTATAAGTAATTTTAATTAGTATTAGGTATTAATCATCAACATCTAATGCTTATGTCTTCTATAATTTTAGTCCGGATCGAGGAGCAGTAATAATTGAGGTCGTGGAAACCTGCTATCCCACATTAGTGCTAGATAACAAAATTGTCCATCGGAGTCTCTTTCACTAATCAGTGTGGGCGAATACTTTGACTGTGAGTCGTTGGTCGTTGTCTTATTGCCGCATGCGCAGTGCGCACTACCCACTGGCCTCATGCCCTCTTGTTATAAGAATCTTCCTGGTAAGTTCACTCACCATATAGTCTGAACGACTGAACGTCAAGAACACACACTTCATGGTGACAAAAATGGCTCACTCCTATCTTCTACTCCTCTTCCTACTACTGTTCATCACCTTCAACTCCAGCTTGCAACAATCCATGGCGCAGACTGACGACAGCGAGCTAGCAACACTCCTAACAATCAAGAAAGACTGGGGCAACCCATCTGCGCTGGGCTCATGGAGTTCCCACAACGCTTCCTACTGCAGATGGGCAGGGGTCAAAAGGTGCGTGAACGGCCACGTGTCCGCCCTGTCCTTCCAAAACCTCAGCATAACCAATCCAGTCCCAGCTTCCATTTGCAACCTCAAGAACCTGTCATATCTAGACCTTTCCTACAACAACCTCACCGGCCAGTTCCCGACGGCGCTCTACGGCTGCTCAGCTCTTCAGTTCCTTGACCTGTCCAACAATCACTTCTCCGGTGCCCTCCCAGCTGACATCGACAAAAAACTGTCGTCGTCGGCGATGGAGCACCTCAACCTGTCAAGCAATGGCTTCACAGGCAGCGTGCCGTTGGCAATCGCCGGGTTCCCGAAGCTCAAGTCGTTGGTCCTCGACACTAATAGCTTCAATGGGAGCTACCCGGGTGCCGCCATCGGCAACCTCACGCAGCTCGAGACGCTAACCCTGGCAAGTAACCCCTTCGCGCCAGGCCCCATCCCTGACGAGTTTGGCAAGTTGAAGAAGCTGAAGATGCTTTGGATGTCAGGGATGAACCTGACTGGTGGCATCCCTGGCAACCTGTCGTCGCTCACTGAGCTGACGACTCTGGCTCTGCACGTAAACAAACTCCACGGTGAAATCCCGCCGTGGGTTTGGAAGCTTCAGAAGCTTGAGATCCTGTACCTTTACGATAACAGCTTCACCGGTGCAATTGGGCCAGATATCACCGCCGTGAGCCTGCAAGAGATCGACCTGTCCACGAACTGGCTCACCAGGCACATACCGGAGAGCATCGGCAGTTTGAGGAACTTGTCGTTGCTCTACTTGTACTTCAACAACCTCACCGGCCCGATCCCGTCGAGCGTCGGGCGGCTCCCGAACCTCGCGGACATCCGGCTGTTCAGCAACAGGCTCTCCGGCCCGCTCCCGCCGGAGCTCGGGAAGTACTCGCCGCTGGGCAACCTTGAAGTGAGCAACAACTTCCTCAGCGGCGAGCTCCCGGACACCCTCTGCTTCAACAAGCAGCTCTACGACATCGTGGTCTTCAACAACAACTTCTCCGGCGCGTTCCCGGCGATTCTCGGGGACTGCGTGACGGTGAACAACATCATGGCGTACAACAACCACTTCACCGGAGAGTTCCCCGAGAAGGTATGGTCGGCGTTCCCAGCGCTGACGACTGTTATGATTCAGAACAACAGCTTCACTGGCACTATGCCCAGTGTGATATCCTCCAAAATCACACGGATCGAGATGGGGAACAACCAATTCTCCGGCGACGTGCCGACCTCCGCACCGGGGTTGAAGAATTTCCGGGCGGCAAACAACCAATTCTCCGGTCCTCTAACGAAGAAAATGTCGGGGCTCGGCAACCTCACGGAGCTGCACCTCGCCGGGAACCGGATATCTGGCTCGATTCCACCTTCCATCCAATCACTGGGAGCTCTGAATTACCTGAACCTTAGCAGCAATCAGATATCAGGGCCACTCCCGGCAGAGATCGGGTCGCTGCTGGTGCTCACCATCCTTGATCTCTCCAACAACGAGCTCACCGGAGAAATACCTCAGGAGTTCAACAACCTCCATCTCAGTTTCCTCAACCTCTCTTCCAACCAACTCACCGGCGAGCTCCCCCAGTCGCTGCAGAGCTCGGCGTTCGAAGACTCGTTCCTGGGAAACCGTGGCATCTGCGCCGCGGTGAACCTGAATATAAACATTCCGGCGTGCCGGTACCGCCACCACAGCCAGATGTCAACTGGCCTGGTCATCCTGTTCTCCGTTCTCGCCGGCGCCATCCTCATCGGCGGCGTCGGGTGTTTCATCGTCCGGCGGAAGAAGCAACAAGGCCGTGACGTGACATCGTGGAAGATGATGGCGTTCCGCAAGCTGGACTTCAGCGAGTGCGACGTGCTCACCAACCTCCGCGAGGAGGACGTGATCGGCAGCGGCGGCTCCGGCAAGGTGTACCGCGTCCACCTCCCGGGACGCGGGCGCGGGCGCGGCTGCGCCGGCACGGTGGTGGCTGTGAAGAAGCTGTGGAGCAGGGGGAAGGCCGAGGAGAAGCTCGACCGGGAGTTCGACACGGAGGTGAAGATCCTGGGCGACATCCGGCACAACAACATCGTGAGCCTCCTCTGCTACATCTCGAGCGAGGACACCAAGCTGCTGGTGTACGAGTACATGGAGAACGGCAGCCTCGACCGGTGGCTGCACCCCAAGGACAACCCGGCGGCCACGGCGGCGCTGGACTGGCCGACGCGGCTGGGCATCGCCATCGACGCGGCGAGAGGGCTCAGCTACATGCACGACGAGTGCGCGCAGCCCATCATGCACCGGGACGTCAAGTCCAGCAACATCCTGCTCGACCCGGAGTTCCATGCCAAGATCGCCGACTTCGGGCTCGCCCGGATCCTGCTCAAGTCCGGCGAGCCCGAGTCCGTGTCCGCCGTTGGCGGCACCTTCGGATACATGGCTCCAGGTACGTTCTTAGTCTTAGTCGTCGCAAGACAGTCACCGGCGGCCAACCCTTCTGGCCTTCTCAGGTGGCTTAAATCGACACTCTGCTGATCTGCTCTGCTTGGGTGCAGAGTGTGGACGCGGCGCGAAGGTGAACCAGAAGGTGGACGTGTACAGCTTCGGCGTGGTGCTGCTGGAGCTGGCGACGGGGCGGGTGGCCAACGACAGCAGCAAGGACGCCGCCGAGTGCTGCCTGGTGGAGTGGGCGTGGCGGAGGTACAAGGCGGGGGGAACTCTCCACGACGTCGTCGACGAGAGCATCCAGGACAGGGCCGTGTACGCCAAGGACGCCGTGGCCGTGTTCGTGCTCGGGGTCATGTGCACCGGGGACGATGCGCCGTCGCGGCCGTCGATGAAGCAAGTGCTGCAGCAACTCGCCCGGTACGACCGCACCGCCAGCGTAGCCGGCGCGTGCCGGGACGGCCGCGACGTCGAACTGGGACCAGTGCCCAAGGGAAAGCAAGGTCATCACCAAGCTGCCAAGAGATCGTATGACGTCGGAGCGTTCTTGGGTGGCGACGAGGAGAGCGGCAACTTCGTGGCTCGTCCTGTTTAAATCTTCACTTTAACTTACTTTTTCAGTATGGCGTTAATTCGAATGTAAATTATATGAGTTCTTGTAATATGTGCTGCGTGGACATGAAGACCAAAAATAATTGAACCTTGCGCTTTCCTTCTTGACGCAAAGATCCCTCTTTAACCCTCGCTGTGATCCCGAGGCTCCATGTATTCTGATGTTTGATGCCTTGTCTAGCTCCTGGTCTTGGCATTTGTAGTCTCCCATCCGAGCAAAGTATGGACTGGCGCAAGGCCCATGGCCCATGTGAAGGCCCAACCGTAGCTGACCCTAACATTCCCCCGTTGTTAAGCTTCGGCTTGCCCCCAAGCCGATGGAAAATTTCGGTACCACCCGGATCCCATGGCACTTGCAAGTCCTTAATGCTGAATAGCGATCCGCCATCACACCAGACCTGGGTATCTGACATCCCTTTCTGTATCTTCCAGTCCACTGGATTGATGCATGCTGCGTCCAGCTTCAATAGAAGCTCATTCTTTTTGACCGAGGAGACTGGAACTGAAGCCAGATGGTAGATGCCATTGATTAAACTATCATCATCACACTTGCCACAGCTGTGTCCATATGTATCAACATGTAGTAAGTGCAACTGAAACACCCTTCTGCAAGCTGCTACCCAATCCTTTTTACTGTATGCTTCAGTATAGAAGGAAAACGAGAAGTGATCTCTTTTTTCGAATCTAGCAAAAGCTTCAGCAGATGGATGAGAAGCGTAGTCGTTGTTATTCTCACTGATAAAATCTATTGAAACCAAGGCTTCAATAGCACTTCCGTCACCAGATTCACCACCATTCCCAGCACTTATCCACCGAGCTCTCGAGAGAGAATTCGTCGAAAGCCCCTAGCTGGCGCGCCAGCTGTCGATGTTTTACCACCGATAGCCTACCACGGGGGTACTCGAGACAGTTGTTCGAGCTTCGGCGAATAGTGGAACTCGGCGGTTACGCAAAGAGACTCACGATTTATACTGGTTCAGGCCCTCGACTTGGTCGAGTAATAACCTTACGTCCAGTTCGGCGTTAGCCTGTTTGCGTCGTATTGCTTTGAGTATTGGGTATGTTCAGTTGTTTACAAGGGATATCCTCACCAGCCCTTTATAGTCCAGGTGCTGAGAGGAGTTGTTTGTGTTCTACTCAGATACAAGGTCAGAGTCCTGAGCTATGCTTTAGGCGTCTTTCCTTGTATAGTCCGAATTGGAGTTTTGGTCTTGCACGTTGCTTTGCTCCGTGTTCTTCTTGGCGATTGGGCTGTGGGCCTTGTTACTAAGGTCCACTTCCCTATAGTACGGTCTATGAGGGACCCGTAGGGTTCCCCATCGACAAGTCCCCGAGCATTTCATGATTGAACTTCAAGGGCCGAGTTGTTGTAGACTTGATCCGGGTTCTTCTTAAAGTGAAATCTTGAGATGGTCTTCTTTGATTCTTCTTCTGACTGATGTGCACTTTTGCTGAAAAAAATGCACTCAGTGAGTGCAGCCCCCGAGCCTCAGCTGTTTGGCACAAAAAGCTAGAGGGTCTTTCTGTCTTGATGTCCTCCGAGTTCTTTTCCTTTTAGTGCAGCGAGTGCAATTTTTGCAAAAAAATTGCACTTATTGAGTGTAACCTCCGAGCCTCTTGTTTTTTTGGTACAAAAGGCTGGAGGATCAAAACAATTAAAAATGTACTTTTCAGTGGTGGGTACTTGCAGCCCTCGAGCCTTCTTCGGGTTCTTCTCTGTTGAGAAGAAGCCGGTAGAAGGTTCTTGTTTGTACTCCTTTGGTCTTTGTCGTTTGCTGGTCACGGATGGGTTCTGTATACCCATTATTGAGCATCTTTTTTTAGCACTATTCGCCTTTGTTGCTTTGCTTTTTTGTTCTTTTCCTCTTTCTTTCTTGTGATCTTTAGCCTTGCTTGCCTCTGGCTTGCTATAAATACCTTCTTTGTTGGTTGTGGTTCCGCCTTGAGTAGGAAATTCTTTCTTCAATTCTTTCCTCATTCGTAGATATGCTGCTGTGTGAGGTTGAGCAGCCCCCGGGCTTTTGTATACTTGATAACTTTCGCGTTGGCAGTTAGAAGAGTTCTTGTGATGTGGCTTCCATGCTTGCTCTATCTGTCTTTCAATTTTTGGGTTGTCGTTGTTGCTGATCTTGGGTTGGAGGTAACTATATCAGTGTGCTCGTCTAGAACGTGGTTGTCTCCCTGTTCATAACCCAGGATTTGCTTCATCCTCTGTATTTGTGATGTATCTAGGTTATGTTTATTCTGCTAGTTATATCGAATCTTGGTGCGGAGGGTTGTAACCTCGAATTCCACTGGGTTCTTTGCTGCCACTCTAGAATGATCTCCTTTGCTTTCTTTGTTGAATTTATCAGATCTTGTACTCCGTTGTAATCTCAATGTTCTTCGAGTCAAAGAAATAATGAATAAGATGGTTTCTGCTGGAGGCCGAGTTGTCTATTACTGTATCCGAGTTCTTCTCTGTATCTGCATGCTTTGGCTGTAGTGTAGTATTGTTGTCGACTTGTTGTATCCTTTTTCTGCGTTGCTTCCTTGTGAACGGTTTTGGCATTTAACCGTTGAGATCTGAACGGACCGTTGCTTTCTTTTTCTGTTGTGCATGTCATTGATTGCGGAACGGTAATTTTTGGTGACCGTTTTCACTTGGGTCGCGTGGGCCGTGTATTTTTCCCTTTATAAAAATGACTGCCCTATTACTGTTGCTCCACTTGCCTTTGCGGTGAAAAATTCCTCAATCCTCGTTGCTGAGAAAACCCTAGCATTGCATCCGCCGCCTCAAATCTCTTGCTGCTGCTGCTACTGCATCTGGCCCTTGCTTTCGATTGATGGTGAAGAAGAACAAGGGCAAGGGTGAGTTTGTTGACGAGGAGAAAACTCTTAAGCAAATTGACAATCCTGAGTTCATGGTCATGAGACGGATGCAAAGGCAGTTCTCGAAGCCGTCGACGCAGGAGGCGGAGCCGGATCTGCTTGTTGCGCATGGGCTCATTCAGGAGAAGTTTCTTTCCAATTACTTGCTGCCTGGTGAGCATGTGATTCCGTCCCCTTCTCTCGATCAATCTGTTTTGTTCATTCCTTTTGTGCGAGCGGGGCTCTGTTTTCCCTCGTCCGATTTCTTGTTAGAATTTCTTGGATCTTATCAGATTCAGCTTCATCATCTTACCCCGAACGGGGTTCTTCTCCTTTCTGCCTTCGCACATCTTTGCGAAACTTTTATTGGAATCCCGCCTCCTCTTCTCCTTTTTCGTTATTTCTTTCGTATGCGGCTGTTTGATTCTAAAAATCCTCCTTTCTTTGGCTGTTGTCTCCTTCAATCTCGTTAGGGACGTAAAGAAACTTTCCCTTCTCTTACTCTTTCTGATTTTGTAAGAGATTGGGCCGAGAAGTGGTTCTACGTCCCGAAACCGGTCCCTTCTTTTTCTTCTGATCTCTCTCTCACTCCGACTTCTCTTCCTATTTGGAAGGATAAACTTTCTTTGGTTGAGCTCATGGCACTTAAGCCTTTGCTTACTCGAATTAGCCTACTGAAGTAGGCTAGTTTGACTGGCAATGGAATAGTTGCCGGTTTTCTGCGTCGCTGGGTGCAACCTCTCATGCAGAGGGTGCACTTTGGTTTTGAGTACACTGGTTCCCCAGATCCTTCTTAGCTTATTCTGGACGTCGAGTTGTCTGAAGAAATCGTCCTTGAACGGTTGGGGTGGATTCTTAGTGGTGTCTCGGTGATGCCCGCCCGTGTGGACGAGTATGATGCTGCTCATCCTCCTCCTGATGTATGCGTATGCCTTCCCGAGTTCTTTTGTATTGGGTCTTTTTTATCTTTATACTGATTTTGTCTCTTTTATGTAGGACTATGGCCGGGCTTTTAAGCTCGTTGTCCCTACTGCTGCTACTGATGATGTGGCCGAGGAGGAGGCTGAAGAAGATGAAGATGATGTTGTCGCTGCTGCTGGCAACGTGGTTGAAACCGTTGTTTCAGGGCCGGGTTCTTCTTCTGCTAGGTTGTCTATTGGCTTATTTGAAGGTCAACACTCCTATGTTGAGTATGTTCCTGATCCTCGGACTGCTCGATATATCCTGTTATCTAGGAAGCGACGGACTGAGGCTGCTTCTAAGTAGTCTTTGCCCAAGAGGCGACGTTCAGCTCGTCAACACCCTCCAACAGGTAATATTCTCGTAGGTGAGCTTGCGCTGAGCCTTTCCCGAGTTGTTTTCCTAGCTTTGTCTTGATTTGACCTACTTTTGTGTATTCACCCTAGTTCTTCTTGTCTTCTGATAGATGGTCAGTCTATCGCTGTTGATGAGGAGGTGACTGATGATGAAGTCCCCCTTAATCTTTGTTCGTAAGTTTTTACTTCTCGAGTGCCCTTGTATTTTGTAAGATTTGCTCTGACTGAGTTCTTTTTTTGTAGTCGTGCACGGGCTCCTTGTGTCCCAAATGTAACAATTGCTTCTGCTTCTGTCCTGGAGGCCATCCCGATCCCCTCCTTTGAGGTGGTTGAGGATGATTTGTTTTCCGTGCCACTTCCCGACTTCATTTTCTCGGAGGTGGCTGGTGATTTTAAGAAGGTCATCAAGTAAGTTTTTCTCCTGGTTGTTCTTATTTTGATATCTTATTCTATTTTTGATAGACCCGAGTTCTTTTTCATTGTAGGCCTTCTGAGGATGCCTCGTCTTCTCTAGCCCTTGGGGCTAAAAAAGCTTTACAAGAATCTGCTATTGGTGAGCTCTTGTTGTGCCTTGCCTTTCTGTCTCTTGTATAATTTATGTATTCTATATCCTTGTAGACTTATAATTCTGCTTTTTGTAGCTTCTCCTCCTCGTGTTGCTCCTCCTGAGCCACGTGTTGAGGAACAGAATGTTGGGGCCCTAGTGTCCTCTCAGGAGGAGCACCGGGTTGTGGATAGTCCCTCGGGCATTTTTGCTGCTGCTCGTCTTCCACTTGGGTCGTCTCCGTTGTATTCCCTCGAGGCTGCTTCTCGAGTT